AAAGAAAGAAAGAAAGAAAGAAAGAAAGAAAGAAAGAAAGAAAGAAAAAGAGATTTCAAGTCTAGGAATAGAGGCCTCAACCACTCTCAAACAAATTCTAGAAAAGTATTTTTGTAAAAAATGGAGCCAACTTTTAAGTAGGTTATTACCTGTCTACCTTTTCTCCATTCCTTAAGGTCCTCCAGGCCAAACTGGGATTCCAGGGCAACCAGGATCAGCATCCACATGGAGTAGTGGGTTCCTGCTTGTTTTGCATAGTCAGTCAGAAACAGAACCGTTTTGCCCTGAGGGAATGACAAGATTATGGACTGGATACAGTCTGCTGTATTTTGAAGGGCAGGAGAAAGCCCATAATCAAGACCTTGGTGAGCATTATAATATCTTTACTTTAAAAAGTTGTAATATTTTGCCCTTTTATTGCAAATTATATTATATCTAATTGAAATTCTTCTCTTAGAATAAAATCGGGGAGCTTCCGACATATGATCCCTTTATGAAGCGCAGTTATTAGGTGTAATTGATCTTACTAGGAATAACAAGTTGACTGTCCATTCATTTTCATATATGACATTTGTTAAACTTATTTAGAAACTAGTTATCAGACTTTTTCTTATAAGCTATTACGTGAATCTGAATCTATGCTGTTCTATTATCTATACTGGTGTAGGATAGGGACTATTTTCTATTTTGTGAGGAATCATTTTGTTTCATGTAATAGTTATTCTCTCTGCTCTCCTACTTGAACCTTCATTATCAGGTTGCCCCTGCTTAAGGTGGAATGCTCAAAAGGTTGCATCTTTGGTTTTATTTGCAATAATTTTACATGCCTGACCACACCTTCATTCATTACTAGAGTTTTAAGCATGATTTTGGAGAGTATGTTACAATCTTGATGTTACTACAAACAATTTTAAAATGAGTTAAGTTTCTTGTGGCATTTTAATTTATATAAAATATGGAATTGTCTAAGTGTTTTACTATGGACAAGTGCCACTATTTCCATTTTAAAAAAATAAATATAAATAACAAAATTTACTGTATATAATCAAAACTACATGATTGTTATAGTAACATCCTTGATGTTTTCTCAAAATACCGGAGTTGTACTTTGTATCCTATTAGCTGAATTTTATAAATCAGCAATCAAAACTTGTATGGTGGTTTGAGGAGCAAAACCTGTAACCTGGTTTGGTCTGTGCCATATGTTGGTTCATTTATCTCAGAAATGTTTACACTACTGGGACTGTTTCATCAGGGATTCAGGAAAAGATTCTTACCTCACGTTTGAAACTGACATTTAACATTTATTTTCTCCAAATGGAGTGTATCATTATGAAAATATAATCTTTATTCTAAAATTCCCATCATAAAATTGTTTATGTAACATTTAACGATTCAGACTATACAATAAGCAAAAAAAAATTGTCTGATTCATGTAGCTGTTTATTCTGGAACACGTTAGCTTTTATTTACGTTAGCATCAAAAATCCTTACCACTTATTGGTTTTGTAGAACTGAAGTGAGATAAGAAATAAATATACTCTAGCAGTTATTAATATTGTTAACATTTGGATTGGTAATTAAATCTCAATTGTTTTCTAGGTCTGGCTGGATCCTGCCTTCCAGTGTTTAGCACTATGCCTTTTACCTACTGCAATGTCAATCAAGTCTGCTACTATGCAAGTCGAAATGATAAATCTTACTGGCTTTCAAGTGCAGCTCCTTTGCCCATGATGCCCCTCTCAGATGAAGAAATAGAGCACTATATTAGTAGATGTGTAGTATGTGAAGCTCCTGCCCAAGCTGTTGCAGTTCATAGTCAAGATCAATCCATTCCTTCTTGTCCACCAAACTGGAGAAGTCTTTGGATAGGTTACTCATTCTTAATGGTAAGGCTGAATACTAGCATGATCTAACTAGCACTAGCAGTAGCTCTTAGACTTATATTCCACTTCACAATGCCTTACAACCTTCTCTAAGCAATTTACAGAGTCAGCATATGCCTCCAACAATCTGGGTCCTCATTTTACCGACCTCGGAAGGATGGAAGGCTGAGCCAACCTTGAGGCGGTCAGGATCGAACTCCTGGCAGTCGGCAGTTAGCCTGTAATATTGCTTTCTAACTATTGAGCCACCATGATAGGCTTTCTAACATGGAATATTGTCATAAAAATCCCCAGTATGAATTTCTATAATATTGACCTGATAACTGCAGTTTTCATTTGTTCATTAACAGATGTTTCTTGCTTTCAGAGTACTCTTAAAATCATCACAGTATTTTACTTTACAGTTGGATTCTATCTGATAAATACCGTGTTTCTCACATAATAAGGCCGGGCCTTATTTTTTTTTGACCCCCGAAAAAACGGCTAGGACGTCTTTTCGGGGGTGACTTAATTTCCCCCCCCCTTGCATCCTCGGGTGGGCGGGCGGCGACAGCTTGGATGTTCGGGAGACCTTCCACCACCGTTAATTTCCCTTCTCCCTTGCTGCCGTAGCGTTACAGCAACGCCGCTGCGTTTGGCGCAGCCACGTGCAGCCAGTCAGGGCTCCTCCCTGCAACCGGAGCCCTGAGGAGACACTTGGCTTCAGGCGCTCCTGTGGCCGCCTTCCCTTTGCCTTCGATGGTAAAGTGAATTATTTTAAAAACCTCCGCTCATCCTATCAGGGCCGTGCGAGCTGAGCAGAGCCGGGA